AAAAAAAAAAAAAGTCCCCTAGGAGGTAGCTATTTTTGTTATCAGTTAAAAGCAATAAATCTGTAGCAGTAAAAAACTTAGTATAATTTCAAGGCCCCTAAAGGTTAACCAACTTTTTTTTGGCCAGTCCTAGGGCTTAAACTCAGGACCTACGCATGATCCCTGAGCTGCTTTTGCTGAAGGCTAGCACTCTACCACTTGAGCCACAGCGCCATTTTCAACTTTTTCTATTTATGTGGAACTGAGGAATAGAACCCAGAGCTTCATGCATGCTAGACAAGCACTCTACCACTAAACCACATTCCCAACCCCAAGGTTAACAGACTTTTCTCTTAAAAACTCTTACCTAGTTTAGGCTTTGTGGACTGATTCTGGTGTCACTTGCATACTTCTTGTCATCATCTTTTTTTTTTTTTTTTTTTTTTTGGTCAGTTGTGAGGCTTGAACTCTGGGCCTAAGCACTGTCCCTCAGCTCTTCAGCTCAATGCGAGCGCTCTACCACTTGAGCTACTGCACCACTTCTGGTTTTCAAGTGGTTTATTGGATATAACAGAGAGCTTCACTGACTTTCCTGCTGGGGCTGCTTTGAACCACGATCCTCAGATCTCAGCCTCCTGAACAACTAGGATTATATACGTGAGCCACTGATGCCTGGCTACTGAGTTTTTTGGTGTTTAATTGGAGATAGGAGTCTCATGGACTGTCCTGCCTCTGCTGACTTCGAACTGCGATCCTCAGATCTCAGCCTCCTGAGTAGCTAGGATTATAGGTGTGAGCCACTGGAGCCTGCTGGCTTTCTTGTTTTTTTGTTTTTCTTTTTTGTTGGTTGTGGAGCTTGAACTCAGGACCTGAGTGCTGCCCCTGAGTTTTTTCTCTCAAGTCTAGCACTACCACTTTGAGCCACAGCACCACTTCCAGCTTTCTAGTGGTTAAATGGAGGTAAGAGTCTCACTGATTTCACTGTTGTGGCTAGCTCAAACTGCAGTCCTCAGAACTCAGTAGCTAGGATTACAGGAGGAGTAACTGGCTCTAAATGAGTAGCTCTAATGGTGAAAATGTAAGGTGTTATACACACTCACATTACATTGTTTTGCTTTTTGCAATGAGCCTTTTTTGTTACTTTCGTGCTCTTAAAAATCAAACCATGAACTAAGGTGCCTGTGGCTCAAGCCTATAATCCGAACTACTCAGGAGGTTGAGATATAGGATTTCAGTTCAAAGCCAGCCTGGGCAGAAAAGTCTCCATGAGACTCTTATCTCCAATTAACCAATAGATATGACAAAGTAAACAGGACCCAAGAAACCAAAGACCTCTTTTTTTTTTTTTCCTGGTCCTGGGCTTGCACCCAGGGCCTGGACACTGTCCTTGAGCCTCTCTCTGCTCAAGGCAATGCTCTACCACTTGTGATAGAGCACTATCTAATATCTGCATATCAGGGAGAACATGCATTGTGTTAGAGAGAACATGTCTTCTGATCTTGGCTTATAAACTCGCTCAGATTTGTTCTAGTTCCATTCATATCCTTGCAAGTGCCATTATTTTGTTCTTTCTGATGGCCATGTAATATTCCATTGTATATAGGTACCACACTTTTTGGATCCATTCATCTGTGGTGTGGCATCTGGGTTGTTTCTATATTTTGGCTATTGTGAACATTGAGGTGCATGTATCTTTGTCGTATCCTGGTTCCTGTTGCTCAGGGTAGATGCCTAGTGGTACTGTGGCTGGGTAATAGTTTACATTCCCACCAGTAGGGCAGTAGGGTTCCTCTTTGACTACATCCCCGCCAGCATTTGTCATTGTCTGAATTTAGGGTATAGGCCTTTCTGACTGGGGTAAGGTGGTATCTCAGGGTTGTTTTATTTGTATTTCCTTTACCCATGCCCAGTTTTTAATCTATAAAATGAAAAATTTCCTTCTACTTTTCAGAATGACAGATGGATACTCAGGAAGTGATCTAACAGCTTTGGCAAAAGATGCAGCTCTGGGTCCTATCCGAGGTACGTGTATGAGAGCTTCAATACTTGATGTATTTAACATGCCACTTTAGCTGTGTGCCAATGGCTTAGACTTGTAATCCTAGTTACTAAGGAAGCTGAAATCTGATACTGTGGTTCAAAGGCAGACCAAGCAAGGAAGTCTATGAGACTCTTATCTCTAATAATTAACCACCAAAAATCTAGAAGTGAAGTTGTGGCCCAAGTAGTAGAATGCTAGCCTTGAGTACAAAAGCTTAGGAACAGTACCCAGGCCCTGAGTTCAAGCACCAAGACCAGCAATGGAAAAAAAAATGTTATACCACTTTAGAAGTTTAAAAAGTCCCCTAGGAGGGGCTGAGAAGGTGGCTCAGTGGTAGAGTGCTTGCCTCAAATGCATGAGGGCCTGGGTTAAATTCCTCAGCACCATATAAACAGAAAAATCTGGAAATGGCACTGTGGGTCAAGTGGTAGAGCACTAGCCTTGAGCTGAAGAGCTGAGGGACAGTGCCTAGGCCCAGAGTGCAAGCCCCACAAC